GCCATAATGAGTGTGGGGAAAAGCTGTGGGCCCACTATACACAAGAAGCCTCAGAAGTGAAAACCCTTATATGAGTCCTGATCGTGGTGAAATGTTCACCACCACCTCAGTCCTTGTTGTCCACTGGAGAATCCAGATTGGAGAGAGACTCTTACCTTGGTGACAAGTGTAGAAATGCTTTCTGTTCTCTCATGTGGCTCAACACTTCAGGAACCACAGTGGGGGTCTACAATTGCCACTTTTGCTGATAGAGCTTCTGGGAACATAGCTGTGAGAGAACAGAGTTGTATTCATACCAATAAGCTTTTTCTCTTATTCTTTGTGTGGGAAAAGCTTTGGTCAGAACTCCAATTTAGTCATCCCCTATCAAATCCACATTAGAGAGAAGCTTTTTGTATGTAAGAAATATGGGTGGGGTGTCAACCTTCTAATCTCAACTAGGACTGGTTGGAGGGAGCTTTCAGGCTCTGCTAAAGGAGGGAAATCTTTAGCAGCATATAACTCCTATTCATTTTCAGATTCATCAAGATCCACCTATAGGAAATTTCCTTCCCACCTAGAATCACCAACCTAGGCACAACCCTGCTTACTCTCTCCATACTTTTCTCCTTTGTGTTTTCAGAGATTTGCCGTCTCCCTTGAGTAGTGATAAATGAAATCAACAATCAATTTAGGTCATGAATGAGATGTAGTATGGTTTGGTGGGTCCCTATGCCATTAGCTTTTCCCATTGTCTTATAGTTTATTTTTCCATATTTGTTCTTCTTTCTTGCTGTTTCTAATATTTGTTTACCACTTACCATGTACTAGGTGTTATCTCATTGTCTCCCTTTCTTCTTCAAGAATCCGTATCATAGTAGGGATACAGATTTAGGGTGTTTGTGAAATAGGGGTTTGGGTCTGCCTCAAGAAGCTGGCAACATTTGACTGATTTTAGTAGTATAGGCTCTTTCCAATAAAGCCTTTCTATCACAGCATCATTAATATGGGTAAGCCACATCTTTTTTCTGGGCCTCAGTTTCCTTGTCTCTAAAACAAGAGAGCGAGACTAATTAATAAGGTCCCTTCCAGCTCTGTGAACCCTATGATCCTATTTAGATTGTACTTGTTTTAAGAGTATACTATCAACACCCTCATTAAATCCATGATATCAAAGCCAAGGTATAGGTGTACTGTTAAAAAAATCCGAATATCCTGAATATTAGGATGTGACAGAAGGACCTAGATTACTCTAATGCTGGGAAAACTTGGGGACAGTGTCTTGCCCGAAGACATTATAGGATTAGCCAGGCCACTCTGTCATAAACTGGTAGGGGGGAGGAGAAGAATGTAGTGTTGGATTAGATCATGGTGTTTTTTCAGGGGAACAGAGAGTTAGTTGCACCTTAGGACTAGGGTGTTAAAGGGCTTAAGGGAAGTTGTGACACCTGCTAGAAGATGGACAGGAACTGAATTCAGTATTATTGCAGGACCTTCTGAACTTAAGAGTGGTTACTTTCTAATTTGCATGTTATCTAAATAATAGGAGGTAATTAAAGAAGGAATCTTTTTATGTGCCTGAAAAACATTGACCTGTTTCTATGTGACATTTGAAATAGGCACTTTTTTGTTTGAGGAGTGGTATGGGGGTACGAGTGAATGGAAGGTTCTTCTATCTCTAAGATTCTACTAGTTTGACATTCCACTGTCATCTTTACTGTTCTCATCTTTTCTTTCCTGCCTACCCTTTTGATAAAATTTCTCTTATTTGACTAGGCATAAGTGTAATTACTACTTGAGCACTGGTACAGCCATTCCCCCTCTCTTGCAGGAAGCTGCTACACATTATGTAGTCACCTGTACACATTTTTACATATGTGATCTGCACATCTACCAGAAGACCCATATAAGTGAAAAGGCTTGTGTGCCCTGATTGTGGTGACATTTTCCCCACAGCTAATTGTCATTATACACTGTGATGTCACTTACATCTGCCCTCTCCTTCTTTATCATTCCTACTGACCTGGAGTATTGTAATTGCCTCCTACACAGTATCCTCCCTCTCTCCTTGTCCTCCTAATTTTCCTGCTGCACTATTATGACATCCCTCATATGCTCAAAATCTTCAATGCCTCCCCAATGCATAATGAAAAAGACCAAACATGGCATTCAATCATACTTCTAACTTTCCATTCATCTCACACAACTCATAACATATTTTGTGTTCCACCCAAGGTAGAGTACTTGCTTTCCCCGATTTCCTCTCTATCTACTCTCCTGTATTATAAAGTACTTGAAGATAGTTGGAAAAATTACTTAGGATACTTAATCCCATCTATCTTCCCCTATACACTGCACATTTTAAGCACTTAATAGATTTTTGAACAAAAGGGGGCTTTTTTTCTTGGATCCATTATGACATTTAAAGTTATGCTACACGTATGAGGAAAGGTGACGCAAAAATCTAAGAAGCCAGTTGTCAAGCTCCAAATGATATTTTTGCATTTGAAAAACCACCAAATTCATCTCTAGAAGGTAGGACCATGAGAAGGCCACCTGCCCTGGGAAAAAATCTGAGATAAAATTCAGGGTGATCTCTGCTTAAATCCTGAATTAAGCCCAGAGTCTTAAGCTTCTGGTCTACTTTCCTGCTGGCTACTTCCCAGTTAGTTTAGTTGTCTAGGAGACAGTGAGACAGCTCTGTGGTGGGGTCAGGATAGAGATGCATTCGAGGAGCAGCTGTTCACAGAGTTACTCACATAAGCACAGTCTACAATCTGTCTTCAAAACTGTAAGTTCCCTGAGAAGTGAGGGATTGTACCTTCCCCTTTCCTCAGTGCCAGGCACATAGTAGGCACTTAACATTTGATAAATTGAATAAAGCTTCCAATTTATATCCTAAAGTACCCAAGGTTCATTTTCTAATGGGAGTATAAGTAGTTTTGGTCTTGAGAGCCAGTAACGTGAGAAAAAGACTGTCTTAAAATGTTCCTATTTAGTTACCACCAGCTACTAGCTTATCAACCTGTTCATTTAAGTCTCATTCCTTACCTGTTTCAGTGGCTATAAAGTATTCAGGGAATTGTACTACTTGTCCTATTAACTAGAACCAATAGTCCAACCTACCTCACAGGAAACTGTGCTGATTCAGAGAGGATAATGCTTTAGTGAGTCATCAGGATTTTAAGGAGACCAAAATCCTAAGACCTATTCTGGAACTGAGTTGTATTTTTAGGGTGATTGGTCTCAGAACCAGCCTGGCCTTCTGAGAGAAATGACACCAGATTTCTTAAGACCCCTCCAACTTGGTAGTAGGGAAAAGGTACTTTCTATAACATTATATAATACCCTTGGGGGCATTCTAAGCAGGGTCAGAAGCTAGAATACCTATGCGTGGTTCTGCTTCCAGACCTGAGTACAACATAACTATTATTTCCAATCTCGGTCAATAAATCATTTAAAAAAAAAAAAACTTAAACCCACAGAGCTCTTTGTCCCTTGGGGCTAGGTAAGCCTAGAACTCGGTCTGATCCAGGAAAATGGAGCGGTCTGGAAACAGACAGGATCAGCCCTTCCTGGTATGTATTTTGGTCCTCTCCTTGCCATTTTTCACCTTTAACAACAGTTCCTGTTTTTGTTCTAGGTTGCTGAAGCCAACTTTTCATTACTCTCTAATTCTGGTCATGACATTTAGAAGAGCTTTGACTTTTCCTAATCTGAAGGATTGGTTTTTGGTCTCCCTGCCTCCCCCAGTCTCCCATGCCTGATTCCATCTCTTGACTCCATCTCCTCAAGCATGCCAACCCATTTCCACTTGAATAGTTCCCTAAACATCCACCCAGGAATGGTGACTACTATCACCACATACCTTGTAATTAATCATTTTGGAAGAGTGAGAGGGAACAGATGAGGAATGGGAGGGGACCAAAATGGAAGGCCCAAAGGAAAGTGGAGAGAAGGCACTGGATGGGACTGTGGCAGCAGGTTGGATAAAATATGCATCACCTAGTCTTTGCACATAGCTGGCCACAGAGTCTGCTTCTTGTGACTCCACTTTACAAGCCTGGTGTGACCCAACTTGTCTGTTCCTGAAGCCCCATAAATTTCTTTATCTTACTCTACCACATTTAATAGTTTGTTCAGATATTTGTTATTCTCATTTCTTTTCCTAATCTTGTAGCACTAAACTGCTATTATAATACTCTGGCATTTTTGGTTTTTGATGCTAGGTCATCAGGAAAGATGCTTTTTGCTTTTTAGAGAATAGGTAAAAAAACCTTTCTGTAAGAAGTAGGGACCACTAGAGCCTAGGGGTTAGAGTCAGAACTTCTTGTCTCAGATGAAAGGTAAATGCCCTAAGGAGAACAGGTGAGAGTTCTTTGGTTCTCTTCGCACCCTAGCTTGCTAGTAAGGCCTGGATGATGCCTTCCTTGGTAGCAAGATTAAGAATAGCCCTTCTGTCTCTTTTCAGAAGCAGCCTTCCCCAGGTCAGACTGTGGTCAGTGCATAAAACTACCTCTTTAGGAAGTAAAAGGGTCTATGTTGCCACCCCCATCTCAAGCCTGTGATGTCTTGGATAATTGGGCAATAATCCAGCCTGCTTGATCAAGACTTTTTGTCCTCAAGGAAGCGGCTCCACTGGCACCCAGGCCCTAGGGTTCCCCATGATACTCTATGCCTCCCATCTTCCTCCTGCTGATACAAGCAAAGTGGCAGCACAGCTCTATGTCCTCTCATTTCATTTTCACACAAATGAACCTGCCTTATCTTCTAGGTAAGAGAATGGAAATAGAGAGGGGAGGAAAGGATGTGGAAATAAGGCCTTATTTTTTCTATCTTCTGCCCAAAACTTCTTGAAGTTCCTGTAAACTAATGATTTGGATTCTCCCAAGTTCTCAGGTCTATCTCCCTTCCTTCAGCAATGGTTCTCCCACTTTCATTGCTGGTTCATTTAAACATAATATAGATTTTTCTTTGGCAGCACAAACATTTCCCTCAACCCTCTCCCCTTCCCTGCTGCTGCCCATTTCTTCCTACGTCTTTTTAGGATTTGCTTCCCATGTGGGTTTCATGATGCTGAATCAAGTTGGAACCAGATCTGAAGCCTTTCCCACACTGCAGGCATTTATATGGTTTGTCCCCTGTGTGGGTACCCTGATGGGTGATGAAGTTGGAGCTTCGGCTAAAGGCCTTCTCACAGTATGGGCATTTATAGGGTTTGTCTGGACTGTGGGTCTGTTGGTGCTGGAGGAGGTTAGAAGCCCGGTTGAAACTCCTTCCACAATCTGGGCATTTGTATGGTTTCTCTAATGTATGACTTCTTTGATGGGTCAGGAGGTTGGAGCTCTGGCTGAAATTGTCGCCACATTCAGGACATCGATAAGGTTTTTCCCCAGTATGAGTTTTCCGGTGGCGACTCAAGCTGGTGCTGTGCTGGAAGCTCTTTCCACATTCTAGACAACAGAAAACCCGATTGGAAGCATGGGTGCGCCGGTGATGAACCAAATTAGAGGGCCTGGCAAAGCTCTGGCCACAGTCTCCACAGGTATAAGGCTTCTCCCCAGTGTGAGTACGATGGTGTTCCGCAAGATCTGAGCTCTGCCGGAACCCTTTGCCACACTCAGCACATGTATAAGGCTTTTCACCAGTGTGGGTTCTTTGGTGTCGGATAAGACCAGAGCTCTGACTAAAGCTTTTCCCACACACAGGGCATTGATAGGGCTTCTCCCCCGTGTGAACCCTAAGATGAGTGCTGAGATTGGTAGCATCGTTGAAGCATTTTCCACACTCTGGGCAGTTGTGAGACCTTTCCCCACTGTGATCTTTCTGATGGGTGGACAGACTGGTGTAGTCTCCAAAGCTGTCCCCACACCAAGGACATTGATATAGTCTCCTTCCAGTGTGGGTTTGTTGGTGGGTCAGAAGGTTGGACTTCAGACAAAAACTTTTCCCACAGTCATCACAATGATAGGGAGTTCCGTGGGGAAAGGATGCTTGTGGAAAGGGGCTGAGGAGGAAAGGTTTCAGCTGTTTTTCCCAAGAAGTGATTTGGTTCCATCTCTTCTCCAAAATAGCCCTATCAGTCTGATCTGAGGGAACCCCTTGAGGTTCCCCAGCCTCAGGACTTTGGGAGCAGACTTTGGCTAACCCAATTGAAGGCAACGTGTAAGATTCCTCATTCCCAGGATAAGCCCCAGAGAATATCCAATCAGATCCCTTTTCTGGAAGTCCTTCTCCCATTGGAATTTCCTCTTCTTTCTTGTCTTTAGTTCCTATAGAAAGAGACAAAAGAATCTGGGCCTATTCCCTCCTTGGGCCCAATGGGAAGTAGACAGAACCGCAGATATATATAAAGTGAGATATTTGCAAGGTGTTTAGAGTGCATAGCACATAGTAGGTACTTAATAAATCCTTGTTCTCTTCTCCCTCCCCCTGTATATGAAAAGTAACTAGCTATTAATAATCTAGTCAACTTTCTTCCACCATTCCCTAATATTAATCCTCTACTTCAGAGGGTGGTCTGTGCACTGGCTTGAAATACACCCTGCTCGCTGCTTCCTCTGTCCTGAAAAAACGCTTAAGCTAGAGCCAGGAAACTGGAATTTTGTCCTGGCTTTGCTACTTGCTGGACATGTTGCCTCATCTGGACCTCCATCTCCTTCTCAGTAAAATGAGATGGTTGGACTATATCTCTAAGGTTCTGTAAAATGCTGATATTCCACAAAACACTTTGCTAATTGTTTTTTCTGTTCAGAATCCTCTCCTCTCTTCACCCTATTGATCTTTCAAGGCCCAACTTGTTGTGACTTTAAAGCAAGCCTTCAGAGGTCATCTAGTCCAGTTCCCTCATGTTACAGGTGAGGAATATGAGGGTGAGAAAGGTTAGCTGGCTTGCCCAGCATGACACTAGTAGTAAATAGGAAAGGTCAGATTCAAACCTGAGTTCTCTGACTCCCAATGCAGGGTTCTTTCCATTGTAGCAGATTGACTATTAAGTTTCACTTCTTCCACAAAAGCCTCCCACTTGAGGCTAGAGTGAACTTTCTCTCCTCTATGGCACAGTGTTTATTGCTCAAACTTCTTTTTAAGGATTTAATATTTTACTGTTTTGTTAAGCTCCTTGATGGCAGTGATTGTGGGTGACAGCCACTAGAATGTTGTATTTGGAGTTAGGAAGACCAAGGTTCAAATTACTTAAGCGTTCTCAGTCTCAAGTTATCTCATATGTAAAATGGGGATAATAAAACCTACCTCAGATTATGTGTGGCTCAAATGAGATTATATCTATAATTAACCCACTAATTATTATACGTTTCATTATATACTTACAATGGGGTCTAACAGTTCTACGTACAAAGTATTCATTCAATAATTAATTTGCTGAAGGAATAAAAAGCCATATATTGTTTATTCTTTTTTTTTTTTTTTTTTGCTAGGCAATGGGGTTAAGTGACTTGCCCAGGGTCCCACAGCTAGTATGTGTTATGTGTCTGAGGCCGGATTTGAACTCAGGTTCTCCTGACTCCAAGGCTGGTGCTCTGTCCACTTTGCCACCTAGCTGCCCCCATATATTGTTTATTCTGAGCAAATGAAGACTGGTTGTAGGTGAGATGGGAAGTTAAAGGTCATCAGAGCTGAGGAATCTCTGAGGAGGCAGAGTATGTGGCACAGGATGAGAGGTAGGAATACCCAAAGGGAACATGATGCAGGCTCTCAGAGCATCACCTGAGTGGAAACTCCTATCCACATCCCTCTTTTCAGGATTCCATGGCTTTGCTCCCTGTTCTATTCAGAAAATCAGGTCCAGTCTGGTCATTGGAAACCTGTGGGAAGAAAACAGGTAACTTCTGCAGTCCAAATCTCTTAGCAGGTGGGGTCTCCTTGCCCCAGCCCTTTTTTCACGGTTTTCTCTGATTACTGCTTCTATCAGTCTAGTACATTTAACTCTTTGTCCATTTACATACTTAAATTTGCTGCTGTTCATAGTAAAAGTAGAAACAAGCTTGGGGAAGGGGAAGACAAAGAAGAAAATGGGAGTGTCAAAGTACTTTGTATTCTTTCAGTGCAAGGCAAAGGGACAATGAACTAGGAACCAGAGTGCCTTGGATTGCTTTGGGTAGGGAGGGGCTGGGGCATAGTTAAATAATAAAAGACTAAGAAGTCATAAAACATGTCCCTGTATCAACTGAGGGTCCATTACTACCACTTTTTGTCAGTTTTATCAAAATAACATCAGCAGAAAACAAAACCAATAAGTCACCCTCAGGGAGAGCCTTCCTCTTACAAAATCTAAGTCCTTCCCTCCACTTCTTACTTTATCACATAAAGACTCACTATTTCTAGGGAGATTACTCAGTTTACATGTGGACATAGAATAAGGAGAAATTCTCTTTTGGGGATAAAATAATCTGAGTTAATTCTTGGTCCAACAGGTCGCCCAGCCCTGCTTTGTGCCCCAGCCCAAGCGACCCAGCCCTTAGAGCCAATCCTTATCCCAAAGATCTGGCTTGCCGACTTCCCTTGCCTACATTGTTCCAACATGCCAGAGGCTGTTCCTTAATAAACTTGTGAACTATATCTTGGTGTTGGTAGCTACTCAGCACTTAATACATTATATGTTTGCTTAATCAGTGTCATTCAGTTTCTTACCTTCCTGGGTATACGGGTGTTGGGTTTTGGTTTCTTTTGTTTTGTTTCAGGAGGGTGGTGGTGTTGGTGGTGAAGGGGAAAGAGTCAAGGAATGACAAAGCACAGAGATATTACCCCACCCCCCACCCCCAATGTGTTCCAGAAAAGAAGCTTCCATCAGTTTTCTTTTAAATCAGTAGTGGAAGTAGTAGTAGTGGTAACAGTGAGTGATAACACTGCATTTAGAGAGTACTTTCTCATGACAACCTTGTGAGGTAGGTAGTTCAAATCTTATTAATGAATAAACCACACTTATGTAGGGATCTAAGGTTTAGAAAGTGCTTTACATATAGTATTTTGTTTGATCCTCACGAGGTCAGTGAGGTAAGTGCTATAGATATTATTATCCCCATTTACAGATAAGGAAACTGAGGGAGTGTGTGTGGGGTGGGGGGGTGACTCCTTTGTATACAATGGCTAGGAGGAGGTAAGTGTTGAAGGCAAGATTCCAGGCCCACGGCACCTTCCACTATCGTGAGAAAGACTTCACATCCCAGATATGCCAGCAAATCACCATGTGACCTCTCAAGACCTCAGTTTCCCCAAAAGTTAAATAGGAAGAGGGAGCTGGAGACTGATCTCAGGAATATGAACGATCGTTTGGAAGGTGCTCTTCTTTTAATTCTCAGCTACAGACATATACAGAAGTGCTCAGTATTACTCACAGGGCAGGAATGAAGACTTAATGTCCGCTTCGGGCTCGGTCAACTCTGCCGAGCCAGTCATGCCTTTTCTCAGTCGAGCATGCGCAGGCCCGCCCCCAGGGAGTGCACCGACAAACATACCGTAGGGCAACCAGACGCCTCGGAACTCCAAGCGCTCCTTTCCTAAAATATGTTGAGGGCGAGTTCCCTCCAGAACCCCAGGCCTCATCCTCCATGATGTGGAGGTTTTCTCTCCTCCTCCCCTCTCGCGGTAGGTTTCATTGTTGAGGCCAGGGGCGAGTGGTCCAGAAGAATCAGAGCGAGTAACCGGAAGCCCTTGTATGGTCGTTCCCCCGTATAGAAGCATTTCCTGCCGCTCTAGGGTGATGGAGGTTGCCTTCGTTCTATGGTATCCTGTCTTGCTTTACCTTTCCAGTGACAAGTGCAGCTGCAGGAATGGATGGTTCTGGGGTATTTCTGAAATATCTGGATGGGAGGAAATTCTGGAGCTGGTTGAAGGCAGAGGAATCCATATAAAAGCACTTAACCTTTCTTTATGGAGGGGAGAGAGATTGGGTCTCCCTATGTCATCCACACTGGAAATGCAGGACCCACTCACGGGTTCAGAAGCTTTGACCTGCCCTTTCTCACCTGGGTTTTCTTCGTTCTTCCTTGGGCAGCCTGGTGGCTTCTCACTTCCAGGCGCTAGCTCAGAACTCCCAAGCTCAAGCAATCCAACAGCCTCAGCCTCCCCAGTAATAGTGAATACAGGCATGCACTGCCATGTCAGCTTTCTTTCTTTCTTTTTTTCTTTCTTTCTTTTTCTTTCTTTCTTCCTTTTTCTTCCTTCCTTCTTCCCTCCTTCCCTTCTTTCCTCTCTTCTTTCCTCCCTTCCTTCCTTCCTTGCTTCCTTCTCCCTCCTCCAATGAATCCACCGAGAGATGAGATTTCATATGCAAGGTCAGAGCTAGATCTGTAGATTTCCCATTTTTAATAATTCTGAGCAGTAATTTATATCATCCCCTGATTTCAATTCAAAATAAAATCAGTGCAGCAGTCACCTGGGGTTGTACGATATTGCCAAGAGGGAAGTAGTATAAGCATTTTTCGAACAGTGCCCTCTGGTGGCAAATGGAAATAATTCAGCTTTTTAGGAGCCTGTACCATACATACTCCATATTACATAAATCTTCAAAAATCAATCACATTTCTATATAATAAGAACAAAACACAAGAGGCAGCATCTACACAAGTGTTTTGTGTACTTTGGAAGGTTAGTCCCCAGATATTTTATGCATTTTGTAATTATTTAGAATGGGATTTCCTTTTTAGCTAGTCACTAAAGGAGAGTGCCACTTGGTGGATAGCTCAGATATTACACTCCTTTGTTGGGTAATTAATATTACGCAATGCTTTTTCTGTAAGTTTAAGGATGGCCAATTGTTTTGGACTGTTGCTATTACTGCAGTTTCCTACAAACTGGCACTTGTACTCCATAAGTGTTGTGGGAAACTGCAGTTATATGTGTGTGTGTGTGTGTGTGTGTGTATACCCACATATACACACATATACACACACATATATACGTGTATATCAGATGTTTTATAATTGCTTTGGGGATTTGAAGGTGAATCTGCTTATTAATTTTGTTGTCAGAAATCTCTCATATCTGCAAATGGCTCTGTGATTGTATCAATTGGGACATTCCAACAATGCAGATAGGAGCTAATATATGACTGCCCAACCTGTATGATTCTTGTCCATGTCCTCCCATAAATTCACCATAAGAAAGAATTCTATTCAATGTGCTAGATAGAGGCCTTCCTTAATGTCTCCTAACATCAAGAGGATGCGAATGGAGAATTCATATCCTAAGAAAGATTTTAGGGGGTTAGGCTTCCACAGAAGAATAAGAGATTGCAAGATCTTGTGGATAGTCTCTCAACCAGTCAGGAAGTATAGCAAACAACTAGCTCCTTAAGAAAGGGCCCTGGAGGCTAAACCGGTTGCAACCCCTTGGGTTCAAGGATGGGTCATCAACAGGGCAAAGGCTTTTCTCCATTGTGCTTGCTTAATAAGTTTATTAACTGACACACCCCAAGGGCAGAGATAGCTGCCACTTTTGAACATGGGACCCATGACGTGGGCAGAATTAACAGGACATGGAAGAACATGCAATGGGCTGTCCAGGAAGGGTGTAACTCAGGTGAACCAGACCAATAGTAGCCCTGATGGGTGGACTATGGATCTTACTAAGGTTTTAAAAGTTGATTCTACCACTGAACCAGTGCCCACGTGCTACTAAAGTGCTTTGTGCCCGCTTCTCTCTCGAGAAGTGTAATAAAGGCTTTCCTTCACTCACTCACTCACTGTAGTAGATTTTTGTTTCAGATTTTTCTGACACATATTATATACCTGTCATCCCTTGCTATTGCCATGTGATCAGCTCATATTCTTTAGGTAGCTAGGTGTCATAGTGGATAGAGTGCAGAGTCAGAAAGGTCCAAGTTTAAATCCTCCCCCAAATACTTAGTAGTTGTATAGCCTGGCCAAGTCATTTAACCTCTCTCAGCCTCAGTTTCCTCATCAGTAAAATGGAGATAATAATAGCACCTACTTTACAGGGTTGTTGTAGATCAAATTTTATATTTATCTATCTATACATATGTACATATCTATATATAGAATGTATTGTGTAAAGCATTATGTATTATGTATATGCACATGTAAAGCACTTCACAAATCTTTACTTTATAAATGTTATTTATTATTTTCTTTCTGTTATTAACTTTCATGATAATATCTTTTTATTCCTCTTCTATAAAGTTTCACACTGGTTACATGCTACATCACATCAAACATTTATGTCTCAATTGCATTCTTTTTTGAAATAAATTTTTATAGATATTTTCTCTTTCTCATATCACCATAGTATTCTATTTATCTCTTCCCCTCCAAGAGCCATCCCATATGACAGATAGTTTTTTTAAAAGGAAAAAAATGTCAGCACAACTGATTGATACATTAAAATGCATCAATACATTAAATGTATCGATATGTTGTAGTTACTGTGTATATTTTTTTTGGCTGTGCTTACTTTACTCTCTGTCAATTCATATAGAGCTTCCCATGCATTTCTATATTCATCACACACATAATTTCTTACCGGAGTATTCCATTATATTCATATACCACAATTTTTTTTAGCCATTCCCCGATTGATGGGCATCTACTTTGTTTCTGATTCTTAACTGTCACAAAAAGTCCTGCTAGACATAGTTTGGAGTAGAGGGGATCTTTTTCTTATTAATGGCTTCCATGGGGTATATCTCTGGTTCAAAGGGTGTGGACATTTTAGTCACTTTATTTACATAATTCCAAATTGTTTTCCAAAATGGTTCTAATACTTCACAGCTCCACCAACAATATATTAGTATGCTGATCTTCCTACAACGCTTCCAACATTGACTTGTTGGCATTTTCTGTTATTTTTGCCAATTTACAGGGTGTGAGGTGAAACCTCAGGGTTTTGATTTGTGTTTCTCTTATTATTAGTGATTTGGAGCATTTTTCATGTGGTTGTGAATACTTTTTTGAGAACTGTTTTTTTTCCATATCCTTTGACTATTTGTCTACTGGAGAATGGCTATTTGTGTGTGTGTGTGTGTGTGTATTACTTGTTTATATATCTTGGATACCAAATCCTTATTAGAGAAATTTGATACAAAGATTTTTTTCCCATTCAACCACTTTCCTTCTCACCATAGAAGAATTAATGTTGTTTGTGCAGAAGCTTTTCACTTTGAAACAAAGAAAATTATCTATTTTATCTTTTACAATTGCCTCTATCTCTTGTTTGGTTAAAAATACATCTCTTACCTATAGCTTAGCAAGGTATATGATCTGTTTCTCTTCCAATTATTTTTAATGATATGATCTTTAATATTAAGGTCATCTATCCATTCAGAATGTATTGTTGTGTGTAGTATAAAGTGTTGGTCTAAGCCTGATTTCTGCAAGACTGCTTTCTAGTTTTCCCAGCAGTTTTTTTCCCCTTAAACTAAATAAGGAGTTTTTCCCCTAGGTCACTAATGTTTTCTACTTTGTCAAAAATGGGAATATTGAATTCTATTGTTTCTGAATCTTCCTTGTCTAATCTGTTCCACAATCTCTCTATTTAGCCAACACCAGATGGTTTTGATAACTGCTGTGCTGTAATGTAATTTAAGGTCTGGAAGTGCCATTCCTTCTTTGTTCTTACTTCCTTTCATCATTTCCCTTGTTATTCTAGATGTTTTGTTTTTCCAAATGAACTTTGTTGTTATTTTATCAAGCTCTGTTAAATATCATTTTGACAATTTGATTGGTATAGTATTAAAAGTATAAATTAATTTTGTTAGAATTGTTATTTTTATTACATTGACACAACCTAGCCATGAGCATTGAATATTCCTCTAAATATTTAGGTTGTTCTTTATTTCTTTAAGGAATGCTTTGTAATTGAACCTATACAAGTCTCTTGTGTACTTTGGGAAGTTAGTCCCCTGATATTTTATGCATTTTGTAATTATTTAGAATGGGATTTCCCTTTCTATTATTGCTTCTTGTATTTTGTTATTATATAAAAATGTTATTGATTTTTGAGAATTTATTTTGTAGCCAGTAACTTTGCTGAACCTTATTAATTGTCTCAATTCTGATTTCCTTGGTTTTCATGGCCTCCTTCAAGACTCAGCTCAAATCCCACCTTCTCTGGTTTGTGTAGAAAAGGCTTGCACACTTGGGTAACATCCTGGCAGAGGATCTAGAAGATCTATTAATTGTCATGATTTTAAAAATCCATGCCAGAATATATGTAGCCCGTTCAAATTATTCTTTACTTAGATCTAGGGCTTGCTTTTTAGTGTTTTTGTTTTATTTTTAATAAAACCCTCCTCCTCTTCAGAGGCCTTTTTAGGCCTTTTCAGCTGCTAATGCCTTCTCCTCTGAGCTTGCCTTCTATCTTCTCTGTATTTATCTTGCATGTATCTAGTGATTTGCATGTTGCCTCTCCCATGAGAATGTGAACTTCTTGAGGGCAGGTTTTTGCCTTTCTTTGTATCCCCAGTGCTTAGCACAGTGCCTGGCATTTAGTAAGTACTTATTAAATGCTGCTGAATGACTGATTGCATAACTAGATCCATCTGAGATCTTGAGCCTCAGGTTAACAAAAATACCAGAGGGTTTGAGCTTCTGGGGATTTGGAGACTGGGAATTGTAAGCGAAGTGGTTGGTCCACTAGCACGGTGTTTTATGAATGTGCCTCAAGTTGGGATATATCAATTGGTGATGAAACTGAGTTCAGTCCAGCCCCTCAGGGATCAAATCATGACAGTAGTATATGATGGCACTGGCATCTCAGAACCATAAGGGATCTTAAGCCTTGGGAAACTCGAGGCAGTAGAGAGTCTGAACCAAAGCTAACTCGTAGCCATCAGAGATTCCAAGTAGATCCATCAGAGGTCCCTCAGGAAAGGTACTAGAAGTGTGGAGTTTTTAGGGAATCAAAGATCAGTTGTGTTCTTTTCTTAATGCCTTCCCCAGTGCCTTATATTTCCCCCAAAGAGCCTGCAAGCATGTCTGTGAATCACAGTTCTTGGATGGCCCCCAGTTTGTCGATACTTTGTAAGGGTCCAGACCTCCCATAGTGGGGTGAGCTTGGGGGTAATATACACCCTCAACACATAATTGTATAAAGTTTCTTTAGGCTCATGCCTGTTTTGCTGCTTACAAGGGTCTGCCCCAAACCCAGGA